CCAGGGGCTGGCTCTGGGTGAGAAGGATTCATTGCTCAGGTACAGATCAGCCCCAGGGGCTGGCTCTGGGTGAGAAGGATTCATTGCTCAGGTACAGATCAGCCCCAGGGACTGGCTCTGGGGCAGGAAGGATTCATTGCTCAGGTACAGATCAGCCCCAGGGGCTGGCTCTGGGTGAGAAGGATTCATTGCTCAGGTACAGATCAGCCTCAGGGGCTGGCTCTGGGTGAGAAGGATTCATTGCTCAGGTACAGATCAGCCTCAGGGGCTGGCTCTGGGGCAGGAAGGATTCATTGCTCAGGTGCAGATCAGCCTCAGGGGCTGGCTCTGGGTCATGAGGATTCATTGCTCAGGTACAGATCAGCCTCAGGGGCTGGCTCTGGGTCATGAGGATTCATTGCTCAGGTACAGATCAGCCTCAGGGGCTGGCTCTGGGTCATGAGGATTCATTGCTCAGGTACAGATCAGCCTCAGGGGCAGGAAGGATTCATTGCTCAGGTACAGATCAGCCCCAGGGGCAGGAAGGATTCATTGCTCAGGTACAGATCAGCCTCAGGGACTGGCTCTGGGTGAGAAGGATTCATTGCTCAGGTACAGATCAGCCTCAGGGGCTGGCTCTGGGGCAGGAAGGATTCATTGCTCAGGTACAGATCAGCCCCAGGGGCTGGCTCTGGGTGAGAAGGATTCATTGCTCAGGTACAGATCAGCCCCAGGGGCTGGCTCTGGGTGAGAAGGATTCATTGCTCAGGTACAGATCAGCCCCAGGGGCTGGCTCTGGGTGAGAAGGATTCATTGCTCAGGTACAGATCAGCCCCAGGGGCTGGCTCTGGGGCAGGAAGGATTCATTGCTCAGGTACAGATCAGCCTCAGGGGCTGGCTCTGGGGCAGGAAGGATTCATTGCTCAGGTACAGATCAGCCTCAGGGGCTGGCTCTGGGGCAGGAAGGATTCATTGCTCAGGTACAGATCAGCCCCAGGGGCTGGCTCTGGGGCAGGAAGGATTCATTGCTCAGGTACAGATCAGCCTCAGGGGCTGGCTCTGGGTCATGAGGATTCATTGCTCAGGTACAGATCAGCCCCAGAGCCCAGCACACTTTACAGGGGTCAGCAGTTTGCAGTTTGCTACAGTTCAAGAGCAGTCCCAGTTCTTTGTCACAAGGCAATGTGTCACTTTCTAACCCACAGAGCTGCCACAGGGTGATTTTGCTTTTCTAACCCATTACTTTTATTTAATTCTGCTGCACTGTGGGCACTTCTGTCCAATGGCTTCTCCCTTGCCCACAGGTGCTTCTGTAATGATTCTGAACTCTTGGTTTGCTCTGTACAACCCCAGCCTCACATCATAAACCTTCACCACCTCACCTTTACAGCTTCTCACTTACAACCATAGACACATCATTATTTTATGGATTATTTTTCTGCTAATGCCTCTGTGTTGCATTTTTACATCAATCCAAGCTTCTTCCCACCTGCAGATCCAATCTTTTGGTGTCCCTGGAAGTTCCTGGTTTTCCAATGCCCACACCTCCACTCTCTCTCTGTATTAAGAAATTTTTATTAATAGATTTGTTAAGCATTGGTTGCATATATTAATGTAAATAAGTTGTTAGTAGTAGTAGTAGTAGTATTATAAAAATTAAAATGTATAATTTTATTTTTTAATGATGGTGTTAAATTTGATTTATTAAATAAATTGTTCCATTGTTTTATTATTATTTTTGATATTTTTCAAAGTTGTCTATTTTTATAAATAGATTTTGAGCTATTAGATAAATTTATAGAATATATTTAAGTAAATTTTTATTTATGTGTGTTAATAAAAGAAAATTCACTGTTTTGTTTTGTAAAACTGTGTGTTTAATACTTTTGATATCTGTTAAAAAGTTATTTCATGTAAAGGATGTAGTGTTAGATTGCTTATTTAGATAATATTTTAATTTATTTCATCGTTTTAGTGTTGCTGAAGTAATAGGTGGCATAAAAAGTGATGTGGGTTTTTTTTAAGTTTCAAGGTTTGAAATTATTTTTGCGTTTTGATTAGTATTGATGAACAAATGATTTTTTAATGTTTTATATTGGTAATAATTTTTATATTAAGAGTTAATAATGCACTTGTTTTTCATTATAGGGATTATTTGTAATTGGTGTATCGATTAGGTAAGTAAAGAATGAATTTTTTTGAGTTGTGATAGATAAATACAGAGTATTGAAACTTGAAACTTTAAAGTTATTTAAATGTTTGGTTTAGGTGGGTTAGTTGGTAAAGTTGTATAATTAAAAGTAAACAAGCTAAATAGAGGCATCATATTTGATTGAATTTTATATTTTAAGTTATTATTTAATAAGAATTTTATACTATTGATTTTTATATTTATAAAGAAACCTAAAGTTGATAGTTTTTGGTGGGTGTAATACAAGATGTTAGGTGTAAGTTGGAATTTTTGTGTAATTTACATTTGTATTTTACATTGTGTAATTGACATTGTTTTTTTAGTGGTGGAGTGGTCAGTGTGGGTTTTGTGTGATGTGGTTTTGTGTTTTTTATTGAAATTTACCTGGGTTTTTGCACTTGTTGAGATGTAAGTAAACTTTATGTTTTCATATGAGAAATAAACTATTGATACATTTTGGTTTATAAAATTGCTGAGAGATTTGTGAGATACTTATTTAAGATGTTATTATTATAATTTTTTTGTTATAAGTATGAAGAACTATTAGATCAAAATAATGCATGCAGTAAAGAAAAATTAAATTAATTAGGAATTATTTAGATTATATATAATTAGTAACATATGAAATGATATATTTATTAAGTATTAAAATATTGTATATTATTTTAGAGTTTGTAACAGTTGATAAATTTTTAATTAGTGGAAGGTAACATAATTGTTAAAAATAGGTTTAGTTGTTATATTGATAAAGTTAAATTGTTAAAATTATTTGAATTTTATTTTTGATGTAGCAAATATTTGGGCTTGTTAATTATTTTATTTAGGTAGAGCTAGGGTTTGATTATAGTTTAAATTTTAATTGGTGGATGTTAATACATTTTTATAAAATGTTTTTTAAATGGTAATTATGAGTAAAAATTTTAGGATGAAAGATGAATTAAATTATTTAATAATTGGGTTTTTAAAGTATTTTTAGAATGGAGATGTTTTGAATATAGTAACCTTATTTTTTAAAGATTTGAAAGCGGTTATAGACAGGATTGTCAGTTTGGATTTGGATATTGAGAGTGTGAGGGTGGAGGAAATGTAGGAGACATTGATCACTTGGTATGGAACTTGGAAAAATAAATTCATGTTGTAGTTGGATTTTTCATTGAAGGGTTTTTGTAATAATAACTGAGGAAAGTTATAAGATTAACAGTTTGGAGTTTGGATTAATAGGCTTAATAAAGTTTAATTTTTTTAACTTCAAAAAATATTTAAAATTATGAGATAATATTAGGTTAACTTATAGAGTTAGTGTAGAGATTAGTCAGGGAGTTAACTTGGTTTGAGAGAGGTACAAGTGGTTAGAGAATAAAAAAGTCGGATTTTGAAATTCTGTGTGGTTTTGGTAATTATATACAGAGATGGTAAAGTATGTGAAAGTCTGTTGTGAATATTATAATAATATTTTCTAAATAATGTTTATTATAAAATTAATAATTTTCTATAATGAGTATATGAGTACTGAGTGTTTGGAGAAGTTAAGGTAACTTTTTAAAAATACTTATATATTAGGGAAATAGAATAAAAATCTTAAAATAGTATGATATTGTTAGTAATTGCTATTTTTGGTACTATTTATAAAAGATAAAAACTAGAGATTGTAATGAAGAATAGAATTTTTTATGAAATGGATGATGTAATAAACTGTATTTTTTTTACTTATGAGTAGGTATTTGTTAGAGTTTAATTCCAATTGTTTTAATTGGAGTTGTTTTACTTTTTTAAGAAAGTTAACTATATACTTTGTAGTTTAGATAAATGATTTTCAATAAAATTTAGGAGAAGTTTCATTAAATAACATTTAAATTTAGTAATAATTAATTCTGATATTAAGGAATAATAAGCCTAACTTGAATAGAACATTACAGTGATAAAATGAAATTTAAGACTATTTCGACTTAAATGTAGTGAAATTTAATTTTGTTTGATTTTATTTATACTTGATTTACTGAAGGTTGTTATTTATAAATACTGAAGTTTTTGAAGTGTTTTGGAGAAACTCCAGATTGTTGGGTTACTATTACTACCTACATCTTTACATGGTGGTTTTATTTATTGGCAGCCATGTTTCTTGGTAAAAGATTTTCATTGATGTTCTATTTAGCAGGGTACTAATTTGTATAGTGGGTTTTTTTTTGTATTTAGGATATTGATTAGATTGTTCTATATTTTTGTGGGCTTTGAGTAATATTTACTTATAGGTTCAGGTTTTTGATATTTGAAGAGTTTTTTTATGGTTTTCATTACTTTTTAAAGGGTTTTTGATTTAGAATTTGAAGAGTATTTGGAGGAAATAAATTTGGGGTTTTTTTGGATATGGTTGAGTTGTATTTTTCATGTTAATAAGGTCTACTTTTGGTACATTAGTTTGATTTTTTTGTTTGGTTATGGGGAGGGTCTCTTGTGTAAGCCTGAGACTGGTATTAGAACTTTTTGTCTAATGTTTTATGAGTCTGTTAAGGAGGAGGTGTTATTTTAAGTCTTATAAAACATACTGACAATTAGTTAAAATCATGGAAGAACCATTTTGGTAATTAAAGGGTGTTGTGTTTAAAGAGTTACAAATCTTTTTTAATAACTTGAAATCAGGTGAGCTCAATCTACTTTTTCTGCCCCCACGAATGGCATGACCTGTGCCCACTGCTCACCATTCACCCAACCAAAATCAAGAGCAAACGTTGGCTGGGCTCTAAGAACCTGAAATAACTTAGAAGCCAAATAAATCACATTTTTCTGCCGTGTTTATTTTTCTTTCAGATGCTGGACTTACCTCTGTGGATGTGCGCTGAGCCCTCGCTGCAGGAACCTGTCAGGCCTCAGTGGCTATGAGTTCCTGTTCTTCTCACTGGGGAATTGGAATTAATTAATTAATTAATAGCAGAATTAATTAAATTAATGAACCTTTCCCCTTTTGTGCCCTGCTGTGTGGGACAAGGCAGAGAGAGCGAGCAGAGGAGCGGCTGGGGCTGGAGAGGGGCAGGAGAAAGGCAGAGGGGCCTCCCTGGTGTCACCTGTGGGGAACAGGAGGGGCACTGGGAGGGCAAGGGCAGGTGAGGAGAGGACAGTTTGGGGCAAAACCCGAGCTCACCTGCAGGGAAATGATGAGGGATATTCTGGAGGGAAAAGCTGAGGTGAGGAGTTCACCCAGCTCGGCCCAAGTGGGACCAGAGGTGAAGGCCAATCTAAAGCCAGCCCTGTTCAACCTCTGAGTCCCAGAATAAACCCTACAAACTGCCCATTGAGGGACTAAAAATACATAAAAACAGAACCAGGAGCAAACCAGAAGGTTCCTGGGAACCCCATTACAGTGTTGTCATAGCCTTTTTAACAGGTTTTTTATTACAGCACTGCATTTCCCTGTTGGGAACGTTCACTCTGTGGGCTGTGGGGTTTTTGGGTCGGAACCCCCTCACGGCGGCCCTGACCCTGCCCAGGAGTGGGAGGGAAAGCAGGGTCAGGGCTCCTGGCAGGGACAGGGTGTTTGGTGTTTCCCCCAGAGCAGACCCAGCGGCTGCCCCCAGCCTGGCCAGGAGGGATCTGCTCTGGCTCCTGGCTCCTGCAGGGCAGGAATGTTCCCAGCCGATCCAGCCGCCATTGCAGCGGCCTCATCTCCCGGCGGCGCTGCCCCATCCCCGCTCCCAGCTCCCGCCCATCCTGAGGGGAATTTGTCCCACCAGCAGCAGGGGAACCACACGAGCTGCCACTCTCAGACTGGGATTGTCCCTCTGGGGAACGCTGGCTGCTGGGATTTAGATTATTCCATGTATTTGGCTGCTGAAATTTCCCAGCCCAGGGGTTTTAGCTGACAGGGCAGCACAAAGATTGTTCTCTATGTGGTGCCTGGATTTGGGGTTTGGTATCAGCTTTGCTAGTTCAGATGAATTGTACCCACAGCCCCACATTCCCTGATGAATTTCTGCTGGAATAACCTGAGAGCAGCTCATGGAGAGTAGAAATTCCCATGCAGGGGTACCACTGTTACACCAGCTGTGTCAGGAGCCAGCAGAGGTTCCAGGGAAGCTGAGTGGGATCAGGACAAGGGCCGGTCTATATTCTACAGAACTTGCCATTTAAAACCCTCATCATCCCCCAGCTCCACTGATGTCCCTGGGGTCACTTGACAGAGTTCCCTGGAACCCAGATGATTTCACCCCCCCTCCCCCGGAGCTCAGGCTCCAGTTGATATTTTAAAGCAGGACAAGGTGGTGGCTGGATGCACTCCCAGCCTGTGCTGAGGCAGCACACCTCTCCCTGCAGAAGCCCAGCTCCCTTCAGAGCCTTAGCAGAAGCCTTCTGCGTGTTTTTTCCCCTCAGGAAAGGGATGTACATCCCTGCCTTCAGTACATCTCCAGTGGGACCCACCTGTGAAAGTTTTCCACCACTTCTGCACTTCCAGCTGGCTCCCTGGAAAGTTCCAAACTTCATCCTGCTCAAACCTCTGATTTTAAGGCATCTCCAAGGTATATTGCTTGGGATTCAATATCTGTGAGGGAAGATGGCCCTGGCTTTAATGCTGTGAGGGACGATGGCCTCAGGCTGGAAAGGAGGGAAGGGACTTCGGGTAGTCAAGACATACCTGGCAGCTGTGTGGGAGCTCTGGGAGATCGGAAATGGGAACTGCTGTCTGAGGCCCCCTACAAACGGCCCGTGCCTCCATCCCAGGCAATGCCAGCTGCTCCTTGGGGTCCTTCTGGGCTGTCGGTGGCGTCTGTCCGGGCTGAGGTGTCTCCACCTGCCTGTTCAGAGCAGCCCCTGGCTGAGGGGTCACAGGCAGCGCTTTAGCCGTGTCTATGCTAGCGCTGTCCCGGTACCCCAGTGTCCATGCCGGGACGCGTGTTCGGCACGCTGCAGGCACAGCTCCTCCTGCAGATCCCAAGGCGTGAGGGCTGCCACTCCTTCGGGAGCTTCTGGCCTCCTCCGGGACCACACCGGGCACAGCCGCAGTGGGAGCAGTGGCCCCAGCGCTACAGCCCCGGTTTTTTGGTGGGGATTCCCCAGGGATGCGGACACGGAGAAGGGGATGTGGGCGCTGTAGCTCTCACAGGGGAGCGCGGTGGCCGCGGTGCTGCCGGGGCCGGGCTCGGTGTCCCCGCGGGTGCTGAGGGGCAGCGCCGTGTCCGCCAGGGTCCTGGGGTTGCCACAGGCAATTCCCCTGCCCTACCCGTTTCCAGCCGCGATCCCGGGGCTACTCCAGGGAAGCGCCGTCTTCCTGGCGGCCCAGCACCATCATAGCCCAGGCTCCCCGCTGCCCGGAGCCCTGGCGGGACCCCAGCCCCGCGCCGGCCGGAGCAGGAGCGGCAGCTCCGGGCTCGGTCCCAGCGCCCATCCCGGAGCGGCTCTTCCTACCTGCTGCGATGCCGATCCAATCCCAGCCCCAATCCCGCCTCAATCATCCAGCCCCAGCACCCACACCCTGCCCGCCTCACACAACAGACACCGGCAGGACCAGGACTCAAATCCCCGGGCCCAGACCCCGATCCTGGTCTTACCAGAGCACCTCGAGCTCCACGCAGCACCAGTAACAGCCCCGATCCGGATCTCCTCGCAGCGCTCCGACCGACGCTCCCGTAGCACCCTGAGACCAGCAGCCACCGAAGAAAGCAGGACAGGCGCGGATCCGCCGGGTTTTATGGGCGGGAGGGGGGCGGGGGGGAGGCGGAACCCCGGGGGCGGGGCCGGCACAGGTGTGAGGGGCGGGGCCTGCACAGGTGTGAGAGACCCCAGTGCGGCTGCGCGGGGCGGGGCCTTGCGGGATTTAAGGCGCGGGGAAGGCCCGGCGGAGCCATTTGCTCCTCGGCGTTCGGTGAGGGAGGTTGCTGCCGGCCGGGGCCCTATATCTCTGTTCCTCTATATTTTCTTCTGCATTCCTTTTCGTTTATATTTCTGTTTCCCTATACCTCTTCTATTTACCCTCCCTTCCTCCCCTCCCCCACCCCCCACACCCACCCCCCCCCCAAACCCCCCCCCTCCCTCTCCCCCCTAGCCCTCCCCTCCCTCCCCCCCTACGGCCGCCCCCCGCCCCCTCCTCCCATCCCACCTCTCTATTCCCTTATTCAGCCCTACCTTACCCTACCCTATCCCTCCATCCTTCCTCTCTCTCTTCTCTCCCCACCCTGCCTTCCCCCCTGCCCCCCTGCACACCCCGACCTCTTCCCACCTTCCCCTCACGAGCCCCTCCGCTCCCCTATTCTCGTTCTCCATTCCCCGCTCTCCTCCTTTCCTCACAGCCGCGGGGCTCGGGGTGCCGGGCAATAATAAAGCCCAGAGGGCCGGAGCCCGGCGCCCCCGCCCTCGCTGGGGTCCCCACACGGGGCCGGAGCCGCTCTGCGGGTTCCCCCCATTCCAGTCCAATACACCGGCCCACACCGCCGGGGCTCCGGCTGTCCCTACATCACACTGGGGGGGTGGGGGGTGCGGGTTACAGCGGCCCCCCTCATTAGGAGGGGGTCCCGGGGGGGAGGGGGGGGGTGGGTTAGGAAGGGCCCCCTCATTAGGAGGGGGTCCTTGGGGAGGGAGGGGGGGGGGGGGGGGGGTTAGGAAGGGCCCCCTCCGGAGGGGGGGGGTCCCGGGGGGGGCGGGGCGGGCCCCCTCCGGAGGAGGGGGTCCGGGGGAGGGGGTGGGGCTGGGGGGGGGGGGCATTCCCCCCTCCTGGCCCCGCCCCACTCCCCCGGGCCCCCTCCTCCGGACGGGGTCCCGGCCCGGCCCCCTCCCGGGGACCCCCTCCTCCGGACCGGGGCCCGGGGGGAGGGAGGGGGCCCGGACGGGCGGGTTGTTCGTGTGTGCGTGGTTTTTTTTGTTACGCGTGTGTTTTTCTGTCACGGCGCAGAGTGACGTGCCCCCCTCTGCTTCCCCCCCACCCCACCCGCCCCCCCTCCCTCCCCCCGGGCCCCGGTCCGGAGGAGGGGGTCCCCGGGAGGGGGCCGGGCCGGGACCCCGTCCGGAGGAGGGGGCCCGGGGGAGTGGGGCGGGGCCAGGAGGGGGGAATGCCCCCCCCCCAGCCCCACCCCCTCCCCCGGACCCCCTCCTCCGGAGGGGGCCCGCCCCGCCCCCCCCGGGACCCCCCCCTCCGGAGGGGGCCCTTCCTAACCCCCCCCCCTCCCCAAGGACCCCCTCCTAATGAGGGGGCCCTTCCTAACCCACCCCCCCCTCCCAAGGACCCCCTCCTAATGAAGGGGCCCTTCCTAACCCCCCCCCCCAACCTCCCGGACCCCCTCCTAATGAGGGGGCCCCCCACCCCGGGACCCCCTCCAAACATGGGGGTCCCCAAACCCGACCCCGCACCACCCCCGGGACCCCGTCCAAAGGAGGGGGCCCCGTGTGATGGGGGAAGCGGAGCCCCGGCCGTGTCCCCTGCGTTCACAACCATGGAACTGCATGGGGACACCATCGGGGACTCCAGTGGGACCGGGGGCGCCGGACTCCGGCCCTCTGGGCTTTATTATTGTCCGGCACCCCCAGCCCCGCGGCTGAGAGGAAAGAAGGAACGGGGAAAACAGGAGGAGAGGAGGGATAGCAGGGAGGAAAGCGAAAGGGGAAGGGAAAGGCTGGCAGGGGGGCAGAGCGACAGTGGACAGAGAAGGGAGAGAGGGGGAATAGAAGGGAGTAGCGGAGTAGGGACAGGACAGGAAAGAGGAGAGCGGGTTAGGGTCAGGTTTAGGGGAAGAGGGGAGGGTCTGGGGGACAAAGAAGAAGAATACGGGGACGAGAAGGAAGAGTAGAGGAGGGGACAGGAGGGGAGGCCGAAAGGGGAGGAAAAGGAAAGGGGGGAAGAGAGAGAAGGGGAATACAGGGAGGAAAAGGAAGGGTAGAGGGGGAGACAGGAGGGGAGGCCGAACGAGGAGGGAAAGGAGTCGGCTTTGAGGAGGAGAGAAAAGGGGGGAGAGAGAAAAGCAGAGAAAGAAGGGGAATACAAGCAGGAGAAAGGAAAGGTAGAGGGAGGAACAAGAGGGGAGAAGAAGCTGCGGAGCGGGGACAGGAGCCACCCGTCCGCAGCGTGCTCAGAGTGAGCAAATGGCGGCCAAGGCGATTTCCGGCTTGTAAATAAGCTCGGCCCCGCCCCGCGCAGGCGCCCTGGGGTCCCGCACACCTGAGCCGGTACCGGGACCCGCCCCGCACACCTGAGCCGGTACCGGGACCCGCCCCATAAGCTCCGCCCCCGGGGCCGCCTCACGGAGCCCCGGGACCGCCCCCGGGGCCGCCTCACGGAGCGCCGGGACCGCCCCTGGTCCCGCCTCACGGAGCCCCGGCTCCGCCCCGAGCCCGCCCCGCCCTGTCCGGGATGGGGGCGGGGCCATCGCTTGCGGCCCCGCCCGTGTCCCCACCCAGACCGGCCCCGCCCGTGTCCCCACCCAGACCGGCCCCCCCCGTGTCCCCCCGACCGGCCCCGCCCGTGTCCCCATGCAGACCACACCGCCCGTGTCCCCCCGACCGGCCCCCCCGTGTCCCCCCGACCGGCCCCGCCCGTGTCCCCCCGGCCGAACCGGGGCTGTTGCCGGCGCTGCGCGGAGCCCCGAGCGCTGAGGCGGGGCCGGGGATGGGCCCGGGGCTCTGGCTCGGCTCCTGTCGGTGTCGGCTGTCGCGGGGTCCCGGGCGGCGCCGCCTCTCCCGCGGCGGGCGCGGTCGGGCGGGGATCGGGACCGGGATGGCCGCGGGTGGCGGCAGCTCCAGAACGGAGAGGCCCCGCACGGACGGAACCGGCCGGGGCGGGGGGAGCCCCCGTGCCGGCCCCGGGACCCCCAGACCCCGCCGCTCCCCCGGTGCCACGGAATTATTTTTCCCGGTGTAGGCCGAGAATTCTTTATGAGAAAACTCAAACCTCAAGGATACGGGATCTGAGGGGAGAGGAGAGATGCTGGTACAAATTCAAAACACATTGTGAACAATAAATCTATGGCACAGCCCATTTCCTCTCCCAGACTGGTTTCTGTGTGCTCGTCTGTGATTCCACCTGCTCCTATGGGATTCTCAGCCCGTGGGGCTGTAATGACTTGCCCCGTGCTAAGCACGCCAGGAAATAATGGGAAAACCCTCTGGATCAGGCAGTGAGTGGAGCCTCTCAGTAACCGTGTCCCACAGTCTGGCAGTGCCCAGCACCTCCGGCTGGAATTGGAGGGGTGCCAGCACACGCTCCCTGGCACAGGGCCCCTTGCTTCCTCACGTTCCCTTTAATCAGGATGATTTTTTGGGTAGGAACACCCAAAACCAGCAGAACTGGCCTTAACCACTTTTTGTGGGACCGCTCCTCTTTCTTCCTCACCAAATTCCCACTGTCAAAACCCATCCCCTCAATCTCTCCAAGGAATTGGGCTTGGATTTCCCAGTCCAGCAGGGCAGAAATGCTGCTGTCCTTATTGTATATCCTAATTGCAGTAATTGCTTAAGAAAGAATTGAAAGGAATTAAAGGAATGAAGAGAAATTAAATAGGAGCTGCCAGCTCCAACTAAGGGATGCTCAAACCCCTTATCAATAATTTGCTTTAATTAACCAACTCAAACAAAGTCAGTAACACCACATTGATACAGTATGACTCTTTTTAATGGAGTTACAGATAAATATTGCAGAATGTAAGAACCTTTAAAAAGCCAGAAACTCTTTTAAGAGATGGACAGTGTACAGCTGCAGAGAGAGTCCTGGGATTCAGGAGAAAAAACGCCAGGTTTTCAGTCTTTAGCATCTTCCCCTCTGTGGTCACTGACAGCAAACGCGGCCTCAGCCTCAGGAAGGCCCGGGGAGTCAGGGATTTCACGGATCCTGG